GGGGCAGAGAAGGGGTTTCACTGCATGGGGGCATGGGTAGTGTGCTTTTTCTCTTCAGGTGCTTATGCTGCTGTGGCATGCCGTGGAAACTTTGCATAGTGTAAAACCACCTTTTTTGGTCTGTGATCATTTGAACTACTCCCATAATTATGTAGTGACTTTAAAGGAAAACATGTATTATAATGAAGTGAACTGTTTTAGAAATCATAAAGGTCATTTTATTAAAATAATAATAAGCCACGCCTGTTAATCATCTTACCTCTTGTTGCTGCTCTTGTGACTTGCCTCTCATTTGCTCCCCTGTCAGTCTTGTTTAAAAGTGCTTCTCAGTCCTATGTTCCCCATTCCTGTCATTGATATTGTACCCTTGTGTTGCCTGTGCCCTGCCTTCCCCTGTTCCTCCCAATTATGTTCCCCTGAGATTGTATTTATTTCTAGCTGTTGTTCTATTGAGTTTAAATAAGACCTGTTGCTTTATAACCATACCCACTCCCATATCCTTCATCCTGGCATCACAAAACATTATTTGTGCCATCCACTTTCTCAAATGGCTTATCTTGTTCATGGGGGGGTCCAGAGCCTATCCTGGAGGCTATAGGTGCAAGGCAGGGAACAACCCAGGATGGGACACCAACACATCACAGGATGCACATGCACATGGGCAATTTGGCAACCCCTATTAGCCTCAGCATGTTTTTGGACTGCGGGGGGGAAACTGGAGTACTTGGAGGAAACCTCATAATGACACAGGGAGAACATGCAAACTCCACACATGTATTAAAATGGAGGTGAGAGGGATATAGGGCTCTCGAAGGAACAAACAGGCACGCTTAGGTTCACTCAAAAACACTTTAATAAGTAATACAAAATAATCTCGCATTTACATCAATACTAAGCTATCATATCGAAAGCAATGCAAAATAACCTCGTACTACAATGGGTATGAAATAGTATATATACTGTATATATATTATAGCTAATAATAGTAGAGGCAAAGATACGAAAATACAGTTGTGCTCAGAATAATAGCAGTGTGTCTAAAAAAGTGAATAAAGCTGAAAATCCTTATAATAGTTCTTATTTCCATACAAGCAAATGCATTGGGAACACTACAAATTCTATTCCAAATCAAAACAAGAAGAGAAATTCATCACATTTGTGTTATTCCTTTACAGAAAGTGAAGGAACAGGAATATTAGGCTGTTCAAAAAAATAGCAGTGTCCTCATTCTTCTCAAAGATTCACTGTATGAACTGTAAGATTTTGCTTTCCTTTGAATCATTGAACTAATATTTAGTTGTATAACCACTGTTTCTGAGAACTGCTACACATCTGTGTTGTATGGAGTCAACCAACTTCTGACACATGTGAACAGGTATTCCAGTCCAGGATGATTGGACTACATTTCTTGGTTTTGCCTCAGAAACAGCATTTTTGATGTCACCCCACAAGTTTTCTATTGGATTAAGGTCCAGGGATTGGGCTGGCCACTCCATAATGTCAATCTTGTTGGTCAGGAACCAACAAGATTCAGCAAGCCAATGAAAGGCATAAGCAGTTGCAAAGCTATTTACACTCAGACGTGCCCTCATCACCCACCTTCACACATGGCCCGGGGAGCCCTTTTCAGTCCTTGCAGGAGACCAACACGTGAGTTCCGAGAAAGTGCCGGGCAATGCGCGCTTTATCCCACGGCTGAGCTCCGGTCAGTACTGGGTTTTCCCCCCTTCTTATACTAAATTAGGTGCTGCGTGCGGGCAGGGGACAAGCTGGCAGGACGCGGGGAATGACAAGGCAGGTAGTCGAAAGTCCAAGAAACGGGTTTATTAAGGGCATACAGGACAACACGGAGACTAACGCTAATGACAGATCTAGGGATACTGACACAGACACGGACTAAATACACAAGAAAAGCCAGGATTCACAGGAAACAGGTGCACACAATCAGGAATTAACACGAGGTAACGAGGGGGGCGTGGCACACACGAGGATCGGACGAGCCGGGCGTCACACTATGAAGTCAGCAGACAGATTGGAAGACCATTGGGGGTCATGAGGTCTCTGGAAAGGGGTGTGTGGCGCTCCCAATGTCATTGCAAAAGGATGAAGGTACAAGTCTTTAGAGTCCTGGTGCTCCCTGTCTTGCTGTATGGCTGTCTATCGACTGAGGTGAGACGATGACTGGACTCCTTTGGTACTGTATCTCTTCAGAGAATTCTTGGATACCGCTGTTTTTTTTTTTTTTTCTTTTTTATGTGTCCTGTCCGGCAGCTTTCGCAAGCAGAATAATGGTCTGAATGCACTGCTGTGTCAGACATATTTGCTTTACCATGAGGGGCTCTATAAACTCTGTATAGGCCCTTCATGTTGGTCAATTTCTTTTTATTCGTATATTTATTGAATTTTATTTAATACATGTAAAATATTCCAGTTGCCGTGCTGCCTGGAAGGAAGTGATAGATTAGGAAAATGAGTGAAGAAAAGGGGTAGGGAGAGAGATTAAACAGAAGGAAGGAAAGAGAGAGAGAGAAAAAAAAAGAACAAAGGCGGAGACAACAGTGGGACAGAGAGGCTAAGAAAGACAGGAGTAACGTAAAAAGCACATAAGGCAAGAAAAGAAAAAAAAAACGCACTTGAAATACAACCAAAAAAGGATAAATACAAAGACACAACCAGAAATAAAGAAAATAAAACAGATATACAGACATACAAAATTATTGCGTGTGCTAGGAAGGGAGCGTGGAGGTGTATTTACATGTGTGTTCATCTGTTTGGGGGAGGTGTTTGAACACGTATGCGTGTGTTGGGTGCGTGTGAATTTCTCCATGGAATGCACTTGATAGCGAGGGTGGGGGGCCGCAACCACACCCCACAAGAACCAGAGGCCGGCGGAGACAGGCCCAGGAGACTCAAGGCGTTCGCAGCCCCCCAAGAGCACGGAAGAGCCAAGGCCCCACGTCCCCATGACAGCCGGGTCCCCACCCCAGCAGGAGGAGGAGGGAGGACCCAGGCGCAGCCCCTGCAGCCAAAAGGGCACGAGCCCCAGAGAACCAGAGGCAACAGGCAGCCGACCCCGCGAGGGTGACGGCCGCTCCCGCACGGGCCAAGGCCAGGACCCCTGGCGGCCGGGAGCCGACTGGCCCTCGGCAGAGAGCCCTACCCGCGCCGGAGAGGCCTGAGCCCCCCCCAGGCCACTACCCGGGGAGGATGGCCAGCAACCATGCCAAGGAGGCAGCCGCGCCCAAGAAGGAGCAGCTAGCCCCGGACCCAGGCCCACACTGCCCACACAGACACCTCGCAGACACACCTCTCAGCCATACACATAGACCATACACCCACTCACACAACATACACAGACACATACACAGAGACAAAAAGACATAAGCCCATCCACTCCTGACTGCCCTCCGCCATGCGGGGGAACGGACGCCACCCCCCAGCGCCAGCCGCAACCCCAGGGCGCCGCCAGCGAGTGCCCCCCCACCATAGCAGGCAGGGAGCAGGGGTGTAGGAAGACCCGCCCACTCTCCTCACCCACGCACCTGTGTGAGAGGTGAAGTGTTGGATGCATGTGTTGGTGATTGTGAGTGTATGTGGTGTAAGGGATGAGTATGACTGTTGAGAAACTTAAGATGGATTTAAAATTGATGGGGGAAGCACGGAGGAGCGCTGCTTGCAAACAGCTCTCCTCCCCATCACCCCCCCGCCAAGACCCTCAATGTATATGGTGTAAGTAAAATTGAGGGGCGGGCAGCAGTGAAGAGGTGAGTGAGACCGCCTCAGCGGCCCCACCCACCAACCTCTGAGTAGTGCCCCCACCCTCCAAGGCCCTGTGTGTATACTGATATGCGATGACTAAAGTGCAATTAAAACAAGGGGAGGCAGAGGGCTGCGCAGCACAGCGAGTAAGGCCATGTGGATGGCCCCCTCACCGCAGCGTGCGTGGCACATTGCCACCCCAAGATCCTACATGTGTGCGGGGCATGTTATGTGAGTGAGGGGGGAGAGGGGCTGAGATTCATGATACCAGGGGGGAGCTTACTACCCCCTGGCAGAAGAAAGCCAGCTAACCAGCTGGCTCATTAGGCACCCCAGCCCCCCACCGCGGCATGGGATGGAGTGGACCCGGGGCCCCCCGGCGACAACACCCCGGAGCAGTGCCGCCGCTAAGAGTTAGCCCCCCCCCCCCCGATGGGCAGCCCGCACTCAGTCACCCACTCATTCGACAACAAAAAAGTGGCAGACCAGTCCGGGCTCGAGACATGCCACCCTCCAAACAGTACAGCCTGGCCCCCCAGTTTGAATACTGCTGGTTTGACTTTGTGTCGAATGAGCGGTTGCTAGAAGAGCCCCGAATGAGGCACAGTACCTGCATTGTGAGGGAGCGTCATTTACGGTATTACGGCCATGGGGCACGGTTCCCTGAAGGTGATTCAGCTCACAGGATCCTCATTGCTGAGAACCCAAGTGGCTGGATCAGCCCAAGGAGACACCCACGTAACACCTGGCTGCGGCAGATGAATGGCCATTTCCGGAGAGTAGGACTGGACCGTGCATCTGCCTGGGGGATCGCTGGCTGGGATCCCGAAGTTTTGCTGTGTAGTGGGTGCAGCAACGCGCTGGATCAGCACATGCTCCCCAACCAGACCTGACACCTTAGGTCAACAAGAAAGACTAGCCTTTGCTTGATATTTATAGTTTGAAGCGCTTCTTTTTAGTTACTAACATATGGTACGATGCTGGAATAATGCCACTAACATTGTTGACTGGACTCTAAGTCTTGAAGTGACAGTGAAAAACACTATAGCTAGGTACCTGTTGAGTTACACTGTATGAGTGTCATAAGCAAAACTATTGGCTGTGGAAGAGAGAGCGTGCATTTAGTGGATTACCCCAGTTCTCAAAGAATTTACAGTATATCGATACCTCAGAACTTCAGTCATCACAGATTACATCCTGTTTGAAAAGTTTCTAAATTCTCATATTGAAAAGACTGAGAATTGTCAGAAAACAGCTTTTATTTACAAATCACATGAGTAAACTGAAAGGTTTCCCTTTAAATAAATAAATAACTCCATAACAACCAGGTATATGTGGCTGTCTTAAAATCCAACAGTGAATCTTCTGTCAAGCCCAGCCAATCACAGCTCTGGGCAGATTCTTCTTTCAGACCAGTGATGCATCATCCTGAAGAAAAGCGACTAATCAAAACCGGTTTGCAAAATACGATCATCTTACGTATAAGTTTAAATACATATATTTTAACCCCAATAACACAACCAGTGGTAGCCTAATGGTTAGGGAAGTGCAGTTGTCATCGAAAGATTTAAATCCCCAACCAGCAAAGTACCCTGAGCAAGGTACTGGTCCCCAGGTGCTGAATTAGCTGCCCCCTGCAATATCACATATGGGTTAAATGCAGAGAACACATTTGTTGTTGTGCACCGTGGTGCGTCAACAATGACAACTTTTCACTTCACTTTCAATTCAATGTATAATTACCAAATTTGTATGCAAGACCATGGAAAAAATAAACAAATGTTCCCTTCCCTTTCCACATTACTCCATTCTACAAAAAATAAGACAATCAGCTCACATCATCTCACAATGCCCTAACTTCACAATCAGAATCAGTATTATACCCTTGAATTAGCAATCTAGAACCAGTGTGCTTAGTACACATAAATGGTCCAATTACTCATTTAAATATCTCAGTTTCTGTACCAGAGAACACCAAATACCAGGTTACAAGTAGCATATGTGTTAGGAAGGTGACATGCAGCTGAAAAGAACAGAGCCTGTGAGCTGGGCATTGAATCAGAGTATTAAAAAAAATAATAATAATAATTATATTATATTATATATATATATATATATATATATATATATATATATATATATATATATATATATACACACACACATATACACACATATACACAGTTCTATACAGGAAATGCAACCCATGAGTAAGCCACCACACATAACTGTTTATTAAGCTTCTACATAATGTTAGGCCCTGGATAAGGCTGCATACTGACATCAGTGTTTCCCCTACTATTATTTTAGGGGGGCACCCAGCCCCCCCAACGGCACCTCCCGCCCCCCCTTGAATGTCAAGTTAATTTTATTTTCTATATAGCGCCAGATCACAACAGATGTCATTTAAGGTTACCTTTCCTATAGAACAGGTCTATACATTGTCCTTTTATTAAACAAACTAAATAGCCTTGTTATTTATCTTATTTACACAACAGCTTGTCATTTTTGTCTCTACACGGTCACGTGTTTACAATTCTCCTCTGCTCTCTGTATCGCGCATGGCGGAGTTCTGACCCAATGCACGCACACAGACACATGCACGCACACACAGGTGAGCACACTCACGGACAGAGAATACACATCAGAAAATGTCACGTCAACCACCTGAAAAGCAGACAAAAATATCTGCGTTGTTATATTGACTGCTGTCATTAAAAGAAACACATGAACACCATGAATCCTGTCGGTGTCCCTCTGCACTCCCAAACCTGTAAACCTAGGGGAAACACTGTGACATCACTGTAAAGCCATGGGTGAACCTAAACACACCTGCAGGTCTGGCTACCTACAAGCTCTCAGTCTTCCTTCTTCCCATCGAGAAGCTCTTGTGTCTGCTGTGCGAGCTTCCTCCGTGCCTCTGCCCTCCGCTTCAGCTCAGCTTCTGCTCGCTTACTTTGGTACATCTTCACAGCTGCGAAGGCCAAACACAGCAGGAGGGTTTTGGCAGCCAGTATGTAGAAGAGCAGGGGCACGTTATCCAGAGCCTGGAGGACCAGTAGCATCAGGTCATGGAAAAGGGACCAATTCCAATTAGTCAACATTACTGCTGCGTATGTGATCCACTATTCTGAATACAACTCATGCATACAAAACCAAACAATTAAGCACTTAATCTGGCAGAACTGATGACCAGAATGTGGCCAGAAAATAGGAGTTTAGCTTCTGGATGCTTATTCCTGTGTAAGAACAGCTACAGAACTTGGTACAGTCAAGTGATCACGGTCTTCTTCTGAAGTCCCACATTGCAATTCTCTCTCCTACCCTTCCCCCCAACTATACAGCAGTCTATAACAGCTGCAGGGACTCCAGAATATCAAGCAGGGGCAATTGTAGAACTTGATCCTTTGGGGGGGGGGGGCTCAGCCCCAACTATGGTTCCCACTTTCAATCTAAAGAATAACATTTGCAAAATGCAAAAAAAGTATGAAAATACTGGACAAATCCATAAAAGTATTCCGAGACAACATTTGAAAAAAATAGGGTCGCTAAAGATACCCCCCCCCCAAAAAAACGTCTTAGAACCACATACGGTTTCAAATATGCTCGATTTATGACTCTCACTAGAATAAAGAATTAGGTGTAATATGTGTCTCTTAAAAAATTAAAAATTAAATCACCATGTGTGCAAAGTAATCCACTAAAATGAATGAAGATTAAATACACACAATTGTGCTAAGTGAGTAAGTAAATAATATGGATGGGGGTTACAGTTCGGGGAGATACCAATTAGTTATTTCTGGGATTTTTAACCTGAGTGCTGGAGAAACGTTTCGTGAATTGACAAATATCGTCATTAACCGAAGGGTTATATGCACCCTTAAACGTCTTTATATCCACGTGGGTGTATAGAAAGTGTACAGAATGAATTAACTGGTATAGCACACTAAGACAGGAACTGTACAGCGTCCTCGATTACCCGGCTGTGCTTTTCTTATGCGCAGCTTATTAGAACATGCAGCACGCTACAGTAAGAGAAAAGCTGCCGGGAAAATGGGTTTTCATACTCAAAACCATCCGCGGGAACTCACCTTCCAGTTGATCATTCTCAGTTTTCGCGCGACGAAACTTGTTCTTAGAGGAAAACGATTATGGAAGCACAATAGTTCAACTACGTGGAGGGCGTAAATAAGCTCATACCCATCTGCGTGGTGCTCCAACGACCAATCATAAACCAGTGCTCTGGGCGGTTCTTAAGGTTTAATGTCCAATCAGGACGTTGTAAGAGAGCCAGGGGCATGTTTATTTGCCGAAGCAGAATAGGACGGTGTCCAGAAAGGTGTGGGAACTTGTGAGCGTTAATATTCTTCGTTGTTTCATTAGTTTGAGAAGCTTGTACAGTTTTGAAGTAAATGAATTTAATTCCGCTACTTAACGGTTTTCCTGATAGGGGTGCGACGGGCAGTTCGTCACCACCAAATGTGTATGCATTCTGAATATTAAATTGATCTGCTTTGCAAAATTATCTTTTCGCCTACCCCATCTTGCTCTCCATGAGCAAGCTTGGCAGCAAAAGGCTGCCACCCGTAGCGGCGCTCAGGGAGCTGGGGGTTAAGGGCTTTGCCCAAAAGGGCACAGATCTGCTTGAGCATAGGCTTGAGCTGGCGACCTTCCGATCACAGACAGAGAGACGTAGCTCACTGAGCCACAGGCTTGTTTTGCGGGTATTTATTACGTTAGATAAAGTTTGTTAGTGAAAGTAACGTAAGAACCCACGTTTGACAGGGGAAAGTTAATAAATAAGTCATTTATATAAATTACGAATTAAATTACATATATATGTAGGCAAGGAATATATGTTCCATACTGCGATGTTGGATTTGTCTTTGTGCGGTTAGGCTTTGTAGAGCATGTGGGTCATTCAGGCCTATATGTGGCTGGTAGGCAGATTATAGCCCACAGAGTACCAAACAAGGTCAAAGGTGACTTTGGAAGGTTCTTGTTACACCAGTTACATGTAGATAAAAATTAGTATCTTGTATTTCACTTCTTAGGGGGTGCTGGTACAGAAGCATGCCTATGGGCTTCAAGGGCCACTAAAGTTAATGTCATAATGTTATAATTACAGAACTGTAGCATATTTAAACACAAATGTTGCATGTTGCTGCACATATTATGTTGTGCTTTATTCAAGCTTTGTGAGTAAATTTATATCGGTAAATCTCATATCTTTCATAATCTTTGCGGGCAACTTACTCTACAAAGAGCAAGTTGAGGGAGGCATAAAAACAATTTCCCCACGGGGATCAATAAAGTATCAATTATTATTAATTCACGTAAATGACATAGGCAAAACATAAGGAGACATTGAATTGTTTCAGCATCTTTGTTCTCCCCCTTCACCATATCACCTTCAAGATTTTTCAGAGGTGATGCCGGAGCTGGGGACAGCATTTGTACACAATGTATGGTACACCACTGGGGCCCAGAGCAGAAGCAGAGCGTGCCTTAATTATCTCCTCAACCTCCTTCAGGCTCGGCTTCCTCAGATCGAACATTGTTGTTGGTGGAGCTGGGTTGATGAGGGCTCTGTTGGGTTCAAGCTCCTGTTCTCTCATTGGATTATGGAATATTATTTAGCATTTCATAACGCATAGAGAATGTAATGATTAGGACTCTATAAGAAGCTGATGTAAACTGTTCAGGAAGTGACTTTGTAACCTTCAGAGAATGCAGACCAATTACTGCTGTGCACAATGTGACGAAAAACAAGTATGAATGAGCACCTTGTGTTGGCCTAGAAGTTTCTGTATCTGTTAGCCATTTGGTTAGCCTTTAGTGTATGAATATGTACTTTATTAGTGTTGCAGCTTATCACTATGTAGAAGGACAACCACCTGGCCAGACAATCTGCAACAAGCAGAAGCTGCCAAGGTTTGCTACTGAAGGAAGGGATTCGCCTCAGTTCACCAAAAGTACATGGCTGGGCATTTAAAAAAAACTGAGTAGAGATGGTCACATCACCGTTATGTTCAGCCGAGGCACCAAACAGTAAAAGAGATGATTGACAAACATCATATAGGGGTGTGGATTAAGGGAGAAAACAACGATGGTGAATGGTTGAGGGAATGATGATGCTTAAGTGGCGAGATATTGTTACGCAATGATAAAATGTATAAAAATTGGTGTAAAACAGTATTGGTCACACTTTAAGTGTCCGGCCTTGGTTGTAACTTCATTATTGCAATAAAGACTGAATTTGGATCTACACCAGCGGCTTCTGACTTCTGATTTGGAGGAGAAGGAAAAAACCACAACATAAATTGGCATCACGAACAGGATCGGAGAAGAGACCTGGGGAGGCGACCACCTGGCGGAGAACCGGGGAACACCCGTTTGCATTAAAGTGGCGTGCCCTAAAATAGGTAAGGAAAGGTTTTTATTATTGTTTAAAAGAATAGGGAAAATAGAATAGGGAAACGGAGATGGGGGTGTCTCGGGGGACATACGCCACCAGGCAGGGCCTCCCGGTAAGGTTGCAAAATAAATGTTTTAAACGAAGGTGCTGTTGGATTGCAAACAATTTAACAAAATATTGGTAAAGTGATAAGGCCAGAGAGAGCCTAAGTATTAAAAGTTGTGGGGATTTTAGAGGTCTGCTGGATCAGACTGGTGTGTTAAGAAAGGTACGGTGAGAGAAAAGGGCCTGGAGAGACTTTAGTTGAATGGGAAAATATTATGTATTCAGTTTTGGGCTGAATCAGGGGAAGGCCATGTATATGTTTAACGGATAAGTTGAAAGTAAAGGTGTATAAAGCATAAATAAGTACTCTAAAGGTAAGAAAGCTTGAGAAGCTAAAATTAGAAGAGATCAAGCTAGCAGGGGGACTGGATAGAGCATTTGTGCATTTCCGTAAAAAGTCATTGACAGTAGTGGAAGTGTGGGTTGGTGAATTTAGAACTTTGACAAATCTTAAAACAATGTTTCTGAATGAAATGTTGTGATTAGTAGATTTTCTGGATTATAGAGACTAAGTTTAGAGATAAAGGGTATTAAAGCACATCTTTGTGAGAGAACAACAGTTCATAGATAAGAGGCTTCGGTATATGTGTGCCCATACATAATTGGATGCAGTGTTACAGGTTTTAGTTAGGAGGGGGAGTAAGTAGAAAATAATTTAGAGGCATCAAGGTGAAGCAGGTACAGTCAGGGAGAGAATTCTTATTTATAAAAAATATATTAAAAAAAGAACAGAGCAAGGGTTGACTGTGAGGAACCTTGTTAATTTTTATACCAGACAGGAAAACAGTTCAAGTGACAGTAGAGTGCAGGAATGTATTAAAATGCAGGCCCCAGTAAAGGCAGCAGAAACACCAGTACAGCAGTTGGGGAGAGAGCACCCCCTGCTTAAAGCGAGGATAGTAAAGATGTCTAAAAAGTGGGGGAATAGAACAAAGGCCCTGGTAGCTAAGTGGCCTAAAGGGGGTACATGGGATGTGGCAGTGTGTGAGGAGATGAAGACTCTGATAAAGTTATAATCATAAGGCTAATAAGAACACAGAAAGGCGTAAAAAGAAAAGGAGTAAGGAACTGGAAGTTTTGAGGTTATTTAGAGCAAAGGGAGAGGCCTGGAGAAGGGACCAGAAAGCAATGAGAAAGGCACTAAATGAGAAGAAGGGGGGTGAGAAAGAAGAGATGAGGCTGGAAGTAATATGGCCACCGTCTTATCAAAGTCAGCCCCCCGTTCCTTCATACAAGGGTCAGTTTCCAGTAATAGAGGGGAAGGTAGAATTCAGAGGTGAGGTGACACAGAAGGATGAAGTAAGTAGGAGCAGAAAGGAATGGTAAATTGGTTAGATGGGTACAGGGAAGTGAGTGCATTGCTGCGGCAGGCCGGGGAGGAAGGACTGCGAGGGAGTGAGCTAATAACAGAAGGCCAGGCATGTGGGTCTGAGAAAAAAGAAAGTGCTAAAAAGGTGGGGTACAGAGCAAGTGGTAGTAATGCAGAAGGGCTGGTGCATCTGCTGGACACCCCTAACCCTCCATCTAAAGGATGAAGTCAATTTCAGGAGACGGAGACAGAAACGGAGAGTGAGGAAGGAGTAGAGGAGGATAATGTAGATCATAGAATAGTGAGAAGCAGGAGGGCTATAAGGCCCCTCACCAGGTATACTCCGATGCTTCCGTTGATGGTGAAAGGAACACAGACACAGTATGTGCCATGGGCAGGACAGGATCTGGAGGGCCTGCTTCTCAGACTCCCAGTTCTGGCAGAAGGGGCCAGAAAATGGATAAAAGCATTTGAGGAGGAAACTATGGGTCGGCTCCTGGCGATAGGGGACATAAAGGCGGTTCTGGCTCACGTTTTGGGGGTAGACGGAATGGAGAGACTGCTGCAGAGTAGTGGCCTGGCAGCGGCGACAGGGACTCCTGTGAATGATGCATGTCACTTTGACGGTTACCGTGCTAACCTCTGGCACCAGCTGCGACTAATGTTTCCTCCACGGCTGAGTGTGGTTGAAATGAAGGTGGAACCCATTAAGGAGGGGGAGAGCCCAGCTGCTTACAGTATCTGCAAGCTCAAGAAAAGTGCTGGCACACTGGGACAGAGCAGGACCTGCAGAATCCGGCATTCAGGGGTCTGTACCGGAGGGCACTGCAGGACGCGCTCCCTAAGCCAGTGAGAAGCAGGCTAAGGCAAGTTGTGGGGCTCGTTACTATGCCTGAGGAGCAGTACCATGAGCAGCTGATCCATGCTATTGACTTGTACAGAGAGGAGGAGGACTGTGCTAAAGAACGTGAGAGGGAACTGACAAAGAAATGGAATCAGATGCAGCTTGAGGAGCTGACCGCTAAAAAGAAAAAAGTCCAGGCACCTGTGGTCTCTCTGGACCCAAGCCCCTGGGGGCAGCCTGTGAAAAGCTGACAGTCTCCTGTCGCTGGGGCCCCCCATGATACTAATTGGCCTCAGGTCCCTAATTGGAACAGAGTGAGTAGATACAATGGATGGGGGTTTCCTCAAAGGGCACCCATTTACCCACAAATTTGATGATCCCAGACTCTGGAGAGACTGGGGAACAGGTTGTTTCAGCTGTGATCAGCCTGGACACACCTGTATGTTCCAAAATCTTGTTTAGTAGAAGTTCAGATAGGGGACAAAAATGTAAATAGGCCCATACTAATATCAGAGCACACCCCAGTGAATTTGTTAGGCAGAGATGCTTTGTGTCAGCTGCAGATAGACATAAAATGTACAGAGGGGGGCGTAGAGGTGCTCAGTGGACAGTACAGCCTTCTGCGATAAAATTTGTTGTTCAATAGGGGACAATATAGTTTATACGGGATGGAAGATGTTACTGGTAAAGTTTGGGAAATTCTAGAACAGTGGGGCCCGTTTATACAGGAATAATATAGCAATAAGCTGAATTGGACACAGGACAAACATACTTGTTTGTTGCGATGGAGAGATTTCTGTGCGATGGAGTGCAGAGTGTGTAGGAGATTTAAGAGGTTTGTGGCTGTGGAGCATGAAAGGAGTGCAGTGTGAAGGGAATTAAAGTGCAGAGGAATGTTGGCAGGAGATGGAAAGGGAAGTGCCTGAGGTGTGGACCGCCGTGATATGGATGTAGGCCTAGTAAAGACAGGTAACCCAGGTATAAGGAAGATGAGTGCGGGGTGGTTCACAGTGGTGGATTTGTAGATGGCATTTTTCAGTGTGTCCCTAACGTACCAGTCACAGTTTTTGTTTGTCTTCACCTATAGGGGTCAGCAGTTCATCCACATGAGGATACTGCAGGGATGTGAACACGTGCTTAGGTCAAATTTGGATGGATTGACAAAGCACAGCGCCACAGTATGTGAGTGATCTGCTCTGTGTTATATGCACAGGCACTGAAGCTGCCGTTGCTGAAGGTCTTAGCGAAAGGGGGGCTTGAGGTGCCCCAAGCTAAGCTGCAATACTGATAAGAACAGGCTGAAATACTGATAAGAACAGGCTGGGGTGTGAATTCAGCCACGGGAGGGGCCCTTATGAGGCCTCTGTGTAGAAACAAAGGGGGCCACTAAGGACACTGATGGTCTGTTTCACAACCGTGATGGATTTTTGGTTGTGTCTTTGTCGGTGTCTGACACCTTGATAATTAATGTGCATGGTCTTGACCATTGCGCAAGGGGGGAGTGCTACAAAAAAAAAAAGAAGAAGTTTATGAGTTGAAGTTGTACATGGGGTGTCTAACTCAAATATGCAAAGTTATTTTCAAGCAGGAAAAGGGGAAAGCAAGACGGCAAGAGAAGACGGACGAGGACAAACCAGTCATCTCCCCAGGAGACAGACTATACCTCAAAGTGTAAAATCATAGGTGTTACAGGATGAGATGGCAATAAATGCAGGACAACATGACAGGTTGTTTGACTGGTGGTATAATATGTGAGGCAGTTGGCAGCAAGTCCTTACGAAAGCGCTATGTGTGGGTGCTGTGCTTGTTTTTGCTCTGCTACTAATCTTTTGTTGTGTAGTTCCTCTTGTTCACTCCCTAGTGGGGAGAGCACTGTCCCGGCAGGCGGCTATAGCTGCAATGTCTAGTGTGGTGGGAGGACCGTTTGGAGTGGCATCCTCCTGGACCAACGCGGAAACAGATGGCGACACAGACACCTTGGATGCGGTCCTGCCCATAGCTGCAGTTCAGCCGTACTGCCCGGGAATACTTCAAGCAGGAGACCTGCAGCATGCCTGCCTCCCACGACATCTGGGATTGTTCTGCTTACGGAGAGGTGTCTGTTGTACTAGTCTGTAATGTTATTAGTTAACCTTTTAGTTATCTTTGTATTACATATATCTGTTTTTGTATTGGGTTTGTAATAGATTTTGTAGTCCTGCTGTATATGCAATATATCCAGGGGAGATCATTGTATGGCGATCCTCCCCTCCCTTTCCTGCTGTACCCCCTGTGCTGCTGTTGGTTGATTCTCAGTGTTAGTAGTTTGTGAGCCATGCCAGCCCTGGACCCTGAAGGGGGACTGCGCCATTTGCCGGGTTGGGAGTGGAATTTCCCTGATGCTCAGGGTTTTTGCCCTCCTTCCTAGGTTGGATGGGCAGTATTGTCTGTGGGACTCTTTGGAGTGCCAATGGGGGGAAATATATGGAATATTATTGTGACAATCTGAAACAAGCAGAAGCTGCCAAGGTTTGCTACTGAAGGAAGGGATTCGCCTCAGTTCAC